TTTTCTGATATTTGTTGTAATATTTAAAAAATAATGTTTTTATTCTTTCTTTCTTTCTTTCTTTTATCTTTCGTATCTATTATTATTATTATTATAAACTAAAACGTTATTAATAAGATGATCCCTAAACATCTTGCTTTTTTAAGGACTCTCTCGCATTAAATATGCACAAATCCATTTGCATCATCTTTCAAACCAGAACGCATTAAGAATATTATATATACCCTTTGTGTAAGGTAAGTCACTTCAGTGTATTGAAAAACTACATAAAAAATTACATTTGAGTATCATATTAAATTTACACAGCTTAACAACAGTGTTGAGTACAAGACCATCAATTTTCAATTTTGTACCTCCAACTTAGTTAATACATTAAACAGTGATGATTTATTTTTTATGTTTTTTCTTTTTTCTTTTTTCTTTTTTTTGTAACTACAGATTGTGATTGATCTATTGCAATTTGTTCATTATAGATATTTCATAGCTAAAAACATTGTCCTATGATAAAATAATAATAAACACAGCCACATCATTGAAGGGTTTTTAGGGGGAAAAAAATATTATTGAAAAAATATATATCCTCTTAATAATAAATTGTCGTCAATAGAAAATTATTCTAACGTCATATATAATATTGAATGATACAACTTAATACAAATCTTGAATAAATTACATTGTTGTACTACGTTTCTGACTCGGAAGTATAATTTCAGAAAGTAGTAATAGTAGTCAGATTCATTAATATGAATGTGTAATTACAAGATAGAAAACTACAGATTTTATTTATAAAATACTTTCAATATGCAATGTGCTGCTTATTAACAATCTGGGGAAATATTTTTCTAAGTTTATTTTATATATATATATATATATAGTATATAGAGACAGTCATATCTATTCTCTCCCCATAATATGACTGTTACATAATTGCAGCAATCTGATCTATTTTCAAATTTGAAATCATCAAATTTACGAAGAATTATAAAAGACATTTGATATGTCCAATATCTCATTAAAAGAAAAAACAAAACAAACAATATAATAGGAAGCATTTAAAATTGTTCAAAATGGTATCAAGGAAAACGTTTGTAGATGACAAATATACATTTTCTGTAAGAAAAAGAAACAAAGAGAGTAACATATTTCTTTCTTTCTTCTTCTTCTTTCTTAATTTCTTATTCGTTTATGAAAAAAAAAAGAAAAACATCCTGAAGATGAATAATTTGAATGATGTCACAGTAGAACTTATATTTTGTTCCCCTATACCCTTCAATCAGGACTTTGTTAACATGTTAAATAATTTGCAAGGAGGGACCTAAAATTTGTATTGGGTCCCTCCAGGCCTATCTCATTCAGCTGGTGTACTAGTTGCCCATCTATCAAATTCTATCCCTGAATCTGGACTAAGTCCCAAATCAACGGGATTTAAAAAGCTCGGTGCTGGACAATTACAAGTGCTACCAGGTAAGCAAGCCCCGATACATCTTTGATCATTTCCTTTGTTTCTATCATCTCTATCTCTTAATTCTCTTTCAAAACTAAGTAGTTGTTCCATAAAGTGAAAATTTGGAGCAACATTGGATTTTCTACTACGTACTAGATTGAAAGCATCATTTAGGCTGAGGCTGCATTTATGCATCAAATAAGCTACAGTAATTGTAACAGACCGTGATACTCCAGCTAAACAGTGAACCAGCACTCCTTTGTCTGAGCTCCGCGCTTCTTCTAAAAATTGTTCATAATTTTGATAAACTTGATCTTCCGATGGATGGATAAAACAAAAATCAATAATAGAATTGAAATGTGATGGTGTACTTACCTATAAACTGAATTGCTTGTGGAAAAAAACTGGCTAAGTTTTGACTCCAATGATCACTTATTGGTATCTGCATGTATTTTATAGAACCAGCACTTTCAAATACATTTGGTAAATCTGGCGTTACATTGAGTATGTACTGTATTTGATGTCGTGCCAAAGCTTCTTTGTCTTCGCTATTGGCTGCATTTCCAAGGTACAAATGAGGTAAAATTTGAACAGGAAAATCTTTATCTTCTTCAGGTCCTATATAAACATATAAACAAAGTCAAATCAAAATAATGTAATGAATATTATCTTGATATTTCAAAAAACAAACAAAAAATAAATGATATATACCAACAGAATCGCATGTACTATCACTATCTGAATCAGAAAATGCTCTTATTGGTGGACACGATATCCTAAGTGATCTAAGACCCATCAACTCTCCATCATTAGAGTCTTGACCAGTTGATCCTTCCAAATTTGTTTGACTACACTCACACCATTCTGGATATTTATCTCTAAATGCTATGAAACCACCTGAAAAAGAGGACAAAATATGAAATGCAAGATCTTTCAAGTAAAAAGGATTATTTGTGTATGAATTGATGACACTTGACTTACCAGCAAGTATTGCGACACTTCCACCATTGCTTCTAAGTCTTCGATTTAAAACTTGAATCGTCTCACCCTGGTGTCCTACAGGATCTGTAGAATCTCCAATCAACACAAACGTTCCTCTGCTATTTTTATCTCCATGCAGAAAAACTTCAACTCTGTTTCTTAAGTCTAAACACCTTATCGTTGATATCAAATCTACTTTACCTGCAGCCAATCGTCTTAACATTATACTTGGTATAGCCAAAGAGACAGATCCTCTAATATGAGCTTCCAGAAAATCTGAATGAGCTCTACAATCTAAAATAAGGAGCCTGTTTGTACCATCTTGTGATCTGAGTTCTCTAAAGAGCCAATCTGGCCCTATGAGATTATCTGCCATACTTTTAGACTTGATTTATTTACAATTATAAATGAATTCTCTTATACCCATAAATAATCATCTTTACAATTCATTTTATCTATCATTTGCTTTCTTCGCAATCCTTATATATAGGGTCATCTATTTTTCTTCTTTTCCAGTTTGTCATGCACAATGTTGAGCATGAATTAAAAAACTCTTCTTCAACGTTATTTCCAATATTTGAACTAACAGAGACAAGCAGAGAGATGTATTCTTATATTATATTCTTGATAATATATACAAATAACTGCCAATATATGCAGGATGATAACCCAATGTGTTTGTATATGTTTTGAATGTATCATTTAATATATTTTATCTTTGACACTAATCGAACAATGTAAATATTAGATAATAATTATTTCATTATTGCATGTTCATTCATATATAAACGATAAAACAAAGTTACGCACATGATCACATATAATGTGTGTGTGTGTGTATATTTATTATTAAATATTAATATTGGATATGATGAAATGGCACTTTAAGTTATATGGTAGAACGTATTTCCCAAAGACATTCCATCAGCGCCCACGATGACGATGATGATGATGACGACGACGACGACGACGACGACGATGAATACGACGACGACGACGACGACGACGACGACGTTACAACATCGCGTTCACATCGCATCGTTCGGTGATCTCTCATGCATACCCATCACTTCCTGCGACATTAATGTCGTGTGTGTTTCACCTCCACCACCTTCTCCACCTCTACCACCGTCGGTTCGTCGTCGCGATTATTGATCCTTTTACAAATTAAGACATGTCCAATTAACGACACGCTTATGGAATGTTTACGCTTGTTCAAAAAATGCATGTTCCGAGATAATAACTTTCTCTCTCTCTCTCTCTCTCTCTTGCAAAAGATATTTCTCAATCAGCCAATTGTTAACCAGCTCTTCTTCTTTTTCACTATTATAAAATGGTCAAATTTGATCTTGGTGCACACAGATCATTTTAATACGTTTCATCCTTTTGTTTCCTTTGACGCATACGTTCAACCATTCTTTGGTTTTCACCTTCGTTAGCGTCCTATCTTCTTTACTTTTACTCTTACTTTACTCTTACTCTTCCTCTTCTTCTTCTTCTTATTCTTCTTCTCTTTTCCTCTTTGTGATCACTCTATCTCTCTCTCCGTCTATCAACGTAAAACATGATAACTTCGTGAATGAACAATCATACTGACGAATGCCGATACAACAACACCACAACAACACACAACAAACAACCAAGATGACAACGATTAACGAACAGACAATTAACAACGACGATCTACAAACTACAACACTAAACGATGACGATGATGCCGATGACGGCGGTGACGATCACGAGTAACACAACGAGATAGAAAGAGAGAGAGATAGAGAGAGAGAGAGATAGAAAGACAAAAACGGGGATGCTGCGTAGCGTACGCTGGACCCGTGTCAACGGCAGCAGCGCGCTCAACGACTCATTCGATATCGATAACGTATCTCGACGATTCGAGATCGTCCCCGTCTTCTTCGTTTCACCTTACGAATCCTTCCAGCATCGCTCGACTCGTTTCCTCTTCTACTCGTAATGCTTTCTCGACTAGCGTACGATTCAATTTCCACCTTTCTCCTAAGCCCCCCACCCCCACCCCACCCCTCTCTTTCTCTCTCTTTAACTCTTCCACTTCGTTCACTCTTTTTCTTCTCACTCCTACGCGCTCCCACTCTCACTCTCTCTCTCTATCTCTCTCTCTCTCACTCTCACTCTATCCTTCTGTCTCTTTCTACCTTTTGACACTCTTCTTTTCTTATTTTTGACTTCCGTTTCTTTCTTTTTTCGTTTCGTTTGGATGAAAAGAGATCAAGAGGAGAGAGAAACTTACTCACTATAAGTTTCTTCCAAGTGTTTCGTTCTTGTTTTAACTCGTTGTGTTGTATCACAAGTCGTCGAAGGCCACACCTTACCTCGAGCGTCCTTCCGCCGAGAATGGGCAAATTACACTAGGCGGTCAGCAAGTAGGGGAAGTCAATGGGCTCGAGGATTGGTCAGGAGTCACGTGGTTTTGTTATACGGACCAATCGGATACCGGACTGACGTCAGTTCATTGACAAAAGATGTTTTCATTAACAAGGCGTAGGTAGATGAGTGGGGTGAAGTAGAGGGGGGGTGGAGGTCGTTACTGACCGAACCCGAGCATCGATGAGAGAGAGTGGCGCGTGGGAAATCGGAGGGGCCGTAAGAAGGACCGTAGCAGGAGTAGACCCTAAGCGCGGTCTTCCCTTACGCGTGCGTGAGATCCTCCTCTTTTCCCTGCACCACCCCTTTGCCCTTCTTTCCTTGCCAATGTATAAAGGGATAACAAGAGAGAGAGAGAAGAAGAACGCAACGTTTAACTACACACCAAACTCACGCACACATTTACACGCACGTGCTGCTAGCAGAGCAGTACCATTCGTAGCACTAAAAGCACCAGGGAAGATTTCCTACATCGAATGGCCCCGTCCTTAAAAAAAAAAAAAAAAAACTCCTTTTTAAAGAAACATTCTACTGAAATATTCAATATCGACTTTACGAATTTTTTGATTTATTTATACTTTGAAAATTCGTTACTATAAATACATTGATGGAAAATACTTATTTGTATTTTATATTGATAATACCTTTCATACTATGTATTTTAAAAATATAGTATAACAGGGTGTAAAAGGTAAAAAATCGATAATTAAGGTCACACAATGTGGTACGTATTATGTAAGAAGAAAATACACTTTTTTTTTCTAATGAATATCACGTATATATATATATGTTATATCATCGGTTTTGAATGAAAGTATTCTTAAAGACATTCTCGATCAATGCCCGCTTATAAAGACGTCTTTGATTGATACGGCTCTGCCACTTGACGTATCGTACGTGAAGTCTCGCCCCGAGGCGAACAGCCTACCCAGTGTATAACGAACATCTCCTAGGTGTGGGTTGGCATTCCATTCATTTACGCTGTCGTTGGTGAAGACATTCACGTTCCAACAGCTTCGTGTCGCGAGGCCATGTTCCTCGTAAATGACGCTTCGAAAGATGAAGCGTTTTATCGATTCAATTCGAAGAAAAAATAGTTGAATAACACCTTTACTACTATGAAATACTAATTACATATATATATGAGATTATTATTATTATTATTATTATTATGATAACAATTTATATCATTTTATTATCTTTTAATGACACATCATTTTCTATTCCCATTTGTAGATGATTATTCGAACAACCTACTAATTTTCTATTTTAAAGTTATAACAAGATATCACGAATATCGATTATCTACTAAATTAAAGTACACATTTCGATACAATTTTTTTTGTTCTCAAGCTTGTTGAACCGAGAAAAAAAAGTTACAATTATACACAACGACACTTTATTTTAATTTGATTATATACCTGATAAAAATATCTTATTTACGTAATTAACTAGACATTCTTGAAATAAAAAAATGTTTTCCAAGTTAATACTATAACAAGTATATATATATATATATATAAGTAATATTCTTTTATCTGGTTCTAATGCATTATGCACATTTACTTATGACATTCATATATCGATAGGTGTGTACGTTTGAATGACTTTATGTGATATCTATTATTATTCTTAGCGAGAGTATTAACTCGATACAAACTATGAATGTTACGTGTTCGATTATACAGAGTCAAAGATTTATAATATTAATCACATCTCTGTAATAATATACTGTATATATTAATTGTGTACTTGCATAAAACGTTTATCAACTTTGTGTTAAGTTGTGTTATGTAAATAATTAAAATTACGACGAATCTTTTTATCTAACGAAAAAAACAAAATGTCGGTGAATACATTTTGTAAAAAAGAATTGTAATACATAATTTTACTTCGTAAAAAAAAAAATATATTACAACACAACCATAGCTATATGCAAGTAAGTCAATATGTGTGTTGAGTTGTTTAACTAAATATAATACAGTATGCCAAAGGGCATAGCATGCGAGATCAAGTAATTAAGATTAAACGTTTTTACTGTATAAACTATTTACGAAATGTCAGCATATTTCAAACAATCAATCTTAAAAATACTTTTATTCAATGTTGTTTATATGATTTTTTTAAAAGTTGGACAGGTGTAAAACCTTGTATTATAATGTTTTGATTTTAGAATTTCTTTCTAATGTAATTTATTTTATAGCTTCTGCGCCATGATGACTTCGTAGTCAAACATTTCCTGTAATATAAATGAATTATATTATTTATTATAATTAATCATTATTAATTATATTTAAATTATTAAAATAATTGTTGATTAATCGATTAATCGATAAAACAGTTGAGAAAACGATAATGTTAATAATTTCACTTATCTGTCGGTAATTATGTACAGATTTGTCGATAAGATAAATTCCTACTATAACCAATGTCTATCATATAGGCGTGTTTTTAAATTACCATACAAATAATTGCAATTTATATTTTCACTGGTGGTATACGATAGATTTCAATTGTTTTTCAAATGTTTTACAATAACAGTTCTCTTCTACAAAATTGTTTTCTTCTGTGCAACAAATTATTGTTTCTCCGTCATTCTATTCAATATTATAAAAATATTTACAAGTGACATGTACATTCAATAGAATTAATAATTACGTTGGAGTTCAAAAAAAATGTGTTCAAATTCGAAAGTTATAACCTTAAATTCTTGTTTATTTGGAATATTATTGCACTTCACGTGTGTCACATTTAGAAGATGCCAGTTTAAATGAGAATTTTGAAAAGGAAGGTACAAACAAGGTATACTAAGAATACTGTATTTTTTGATAGTATTGTACCATCATGGCGTAAAGTACCTGCTGCTATCGCTCACTGGTTGTCAGGTTGGTAACTGAGTGAAATAAATGTGTTTGGTAAATAGTAGACTTATGAGTTATCCTTTGCTTTAATATTATTTTATATTTATAATTATTAGATTTTACCGACGGTTGATAAGTTAGTGTTACTACTTGTATCAAACTGGAAGAGGTTAGATTGAAATCTAGGACAAAGTACAATAGATAGGTTGCAAAATAGTAATGGTAAATAGTTAGGGATGAACGAGTAAAGTCCAAGGGATGCGTAATCACGTAAGAAACAATCGGATCAGTGAGAACCAACTCTCCTAATTCAATTTATGCGAGACAGTTCTCGAGTTTGGACATGATATTCCACTTCGTTAGGTAAGAGTTAACATATTTCTAAAGTCCATTATGACAATATGAAGTATATAATATTATGTTGATGTAATTGTTGAACAATTTCTTTCTAAATTTAATCTTTTATTTTATGATATTCTAACTGTCATATAATTTATAGGTTATATTTATTGTACAATTATCTATCATATGTAACATATGAAATGTATAGCGAAAAACAATATTATTCGTTATTTTTCAGAAATAATAATATAGTTTACAATCAAATCTCTTACGGAGGATTATTTTTTATCTCTAGAAAATTCAATTTTCATGGTTGTCCAATTACGCATAATTGGAAGATTTGATACCAAATCAAAAATAATGGTTCAACTATATACTAACGATTAAATAAACTTTAAGGTCAAAGGTTTTCTTGTTTGCCATTTCTATCACTTTGTCATTTTATCAAGAGTCTATGAATTTATAGAATAATGTTGTTGATGTTTATTACAAAATGATAATCGAATTTTTTGTTTGCATACACCGAGGTAGATATCCAGACAAAAAACAAAAAAAAAAACAAAAAAAGAAAAAAATGGTTTCAAATAAACTTGAAAGTTTTAATAGAACGGCACCGGGTGCGTGTCCCACATTTCGTGAGTGGAAAAGCGAGGCTTGGTAGAGGGTATAGAAAGGGCTGAAAAAGAGAGGAAGAGGGTTGGTGGTACGGGCTGGAAATGCAATTCTGGAGGCGCATACATTGTAGAACGATAATGCGCAAGAATGGAAGGTGCTTGTTCGGTCTTCCGTGAAAACGGGTTGTTGGGAATAATTCGACTAGAGATGGAAAAGGAAATGGGGAATGAGGTGAAGAATATGGTGGTGGTGGTGGTGGTGGTGGAAAAAAGGTACTCTAGTAGTGATACTAAGTAGGATATGTTAAAGTATATAATGATTTAACACGAATACAAACCTGTTATTGAAATCAATGTAAAATAATTGACTGATGTTTGAAAATGAAACTGATTTAATTGAATATCAACTAGGACAACATATATACTATGTTTAGAAATCATTCTATATTGCGAATTTTCGATAAGGTCAAAAATATCGTTATAAATTAAAACCGCGCACGCGAAGCAATTAACTTTAATTGCAACACATCTGTATCTCGATCCAATTTAACGATTATATTTATTATTATTATTATTATTATTTTATGTACTAACAATATTTTGTTTTATCATTATTATTATTATTATTATTATTTTTGTAACAAAATATTGAAAACCATAGCAAATGAATTTGGTACTTACGTATTAACGCTACCGCAGCAAAAATTCCGCTAATGCGTTCCAATTAAGAGCAATCTTGTTGTTCGCACATAACAACCTTGTTGTTTTCACACAGCAATCGTCAGGGTTGCGTCAGGGTTTCGTCAGAGGGTTATGGCGACAGTATCAGGTGAAAGAAAATAGAGATTGTTTTGAATCTATGTTAAATTCTATATCTATTCATTTTTCATCGAAATCCGATTGACTACATTTTGTAAATGAAATGTTTTGAATTTTCAAAGTGTTACGATTTTAAATAAAGCTTTTTTTTTTTTTATTCTATGATTTGTCGCAACAATTTAAGATGATTAGATTGGTGCATTAGCGGCGTTAATACGTAAGTATCATGAATTTTTCAACGATTTTAAAGATATCACTGATGATAATTCAATCATGGTTGCATAGTAAATACATGACAACAAGACAATACGTGGGTTGCATGTTTGTTCTTAGTATAAAGCATTGTTTCAAAGCATTGGGAGAACGTAGAAATTGCTTAAACGTGAAATTGCACCCACTTCCAGAAGTAATATGTCACGGCTTCTCTAACTATCTCGGAAATACATACGTTTTACCTTTAATAGAATGATATACAAGGCATGTCGAATTATGTAAATGTTATTCGGTGCGTACATTGAAACAATACTCGAGTAATTAGAATTTCATTACGTATAACATGAGTTTATGTGTATCGGAGAAAATACATGTGAGTAGTATTGAAAAGAAAACTTTTCGATTAAGTTTACTTTGAAAAAGCTTTAACATTTTCTAACGTAACACTTACATTGAAATTTTCTTAGAAAAAAAAAAAACAAAAAATAGTTAAACGAGAACTGTATAAATTATCATAAGTTTCTTTCATAATTATGAGAATAAAGTAAAGTCACGAATTTTCTTCGAAGAAAATCTTTACGAATTATTCGAACAAATTGGTATTAAAATTATGATATAATTTACTTCTCGAACTTTTCTATTGGGATCTCTGGCAGGAGGGGTGTGGTGTAGCAAAATTCGACCTATCTACTGTAATTTTGAATTTAGCCACCAGATAGCGTATTCAAGTGTTACAGTTCCCAATAACAATTTGTTTTAAAAACGTTGATTCAAATATCACGTGAACGTAATTTTAGTTATCGAATAAATTAACACATTTATAAATTATTACAAGTTTGTTACAAACTTTAACAACTATCGTTTAAGTTTAGTTTTTCATATATATGAACTGAAATATAGAACTAACTATACATGTGTGTGTAATAATAAAAGGTTAGAAAAAAAAAAGGAAATTAAGTACATTTGTTTATTTTCAATATTTTTTTTTTATTATTATTTTCCTATCATGAGCAAATTCACAAATTTCGAGATGATGGAATCGCATTGTTTTATTTTTTTTTTTTTTATGAAATGTGTGAAATGTGTGTTTTAACGTTGCATAGGATCTGACATTATTGACACACTTTTAATTCTAAGAATTTCGTCCGTGCAAACACATATTGTTTCATTCATGTGTTTGCTAATAATTCTTTTATTTCTTTAGGTCGATACGTTTTTTATTTATTTATTTATTTATTTATTTATTTTTTTTTTTTTTTTATTGTGCGAAATAGAAAATAAAAATATTCGTTTTCATCTATCTATTGTCATTTTAATATATATATATATAATATATATAGGTATATTAGGTATAGAAATTAATTCGGTGCAGTTTAAACAAATTTTTAATATTTTATTTATTTAATTAATAATAATTAATATAATATTTTTATTTAAATTTAATTTATATATTATAAAAATATTCATTTATAATTTATAAATTTAAAAATTAATTTTTCAAAATTATTTATATTAATTATATACAAAAATGATGATCTCAATGCAATTTAATTAATACCAATTAACCGAATTAATTGCTACACCTAATATAATAATAATAATAATAATAATAATAATAATAATAATGATATCGTTTTTTTTAATTTTTTTTTATCCGAGGTTGCAATATTTCATACATTCTTTTTTTTCTCGTTAGTTCTATGATGTTTGTTAATTAAAATTTACCGTGTAATAATTGTCATTTTATTATAATTACCACTTCATTCTTGTAAACATCGATTTTATGACGTTTTACATCAAATTACATCTCTAATCTTTCATAGCTTCTGATATATATATATATATATAGTATACAAAGTTGACGAATTACAACAGTATGGTCAAAGAAACGATTGTATGGTTTTTTCTTTTCATTTTATTTTTTTTTTTTTTAAACGTTTCACTTGTATGAAAAATAAAAATCAAAAAGAAAAGAATTGTTTTTAACAACTATCATCTGCTCGCCATTGTTCTTATTATTTAATGATTGTTCTGTACTCTGTCTGTGCTTATGCGAATATTCTACTATGCGTTTTTACAAATTTTTCTAATTCACTTTAACACCAATATTTATAATAATCAGCAAGTAGTAGTATTAGTATTAGTATTAGTATTAGTATTAGTAGTAATAGTAGTAGTTAAATAAAATTTACCAAACAATTTTTAATATACAATAAATATTACACGTTTCAAAAAGTATTATTCAGTTAAAATATTCAATCTAACTTTTTCCATAGGAAATATTACAATATTACGTGATGTAATAATAATAATAATAATAATAATAATAATAATAATAATAATAATAATAGAATGATTTAACAATAAATCTTTATAATAATTGATAATAATTAAATAAAAAACATTGCATCTATCTTATTGCTATGCACGTATTATGTATTATGTATTATTTATGCACGTATGTATAATATATTACATTGAGGTTAGAATTCTCTTATTTTATGTATTTTATTTTTGGCATGTCTTTTTTGCTTATTACGAAAAAAATCTTATTTATTATAACGATGAACGAACATGAACGATATCTCCTGTCTCTTTCTTTTTATTTTATTTCATATATATATATTTTCTTCTTTTTCTTTATTTTAATCAATGATGCAAATTAGAAATGATATGACATTTACATTCAACAAATATACATACACTAATGTATATGTAAAAGTTGATTGTGTGAAATGAAAGGTCTATTATTTTAAAAATGAACATATATATATATATGTATATATATTATATATATTAATTATATTATATTATATTATATATATGTAAAGAAAGTATACTTTCTTTAATTTGAATTTGCCGCGCTTGGATAACTCAGCGCGCCTTCTTTTAAAACGACTATTTGAACGGATAACGGTCGCCTTACATATATATTAATATAATATAATAATAATATAATATTATTAATTATTATATTATATATTATTATATTATATAAATTATTATATAATATATAATATAATAATAATGTAATAATATTATATACATATATATATATATATATAAAATAATATAATTTTTGATTATAAGAAGAAGAACGATCTATCACGTACAATCACGTACAAAAGAAGAACTAACCTCACTTGTTTTTCTTTTCTTTTTATTTAATTACTTCATTATTTTAACATTCCTAAAATTTCTTCCACTTTCACTAAACGATTTCTTCCTCTATGACTAGGCATCATAATAAGAACATTTTTTATCTTTTTGTAAATTGTTTTTTTTTTTTTTATTATTATCTTTCATCTACTAATTAAAATCAACAATGTCTTATTACTTACAATTTTCTTCTTTTTTCTTTTTCTTTTTCTTTTTGGTCAGTCGAGAAAATTAAAATTACAAATTTTCTTTCTTCAATCGATACTTTTGTTTTAAATTCATATCCTTTTTCAAAATCTTTTTTCTTTTATTGTTGGTTAATTGAACAGTCACTTTTTGGAACCTAACTTGATACCAAAGGACTAATTTTACTCTCTAACTTTCTACTTTAACGGCCCTTGACGTATTAAAGCTACACTCTCTCTCTCTCTCTCTCTCTCTCTCTCTCTCTCTCTCTCGCTCTCTCTCGGTAAATTGGAATCCTTTGTCCTTAGATAATTTTCAGGTAGAGTATGAGGGCTGAGATTGAGGGGGGTTGGTTTCCAATTATTCGGCCTAAAAACGTATATACCACCAGGCCGTTGCAACTTTTCTTCACCCCCCCCTACCCCCGCCCCTTTTTCTTTCTTTTTCATTTCTTTCTCACATTCGTGAAAAAAAGGTTTAATGTAAAAGATTTCAGGTTGGGAGGGGGGGGGGAAGGATAGGATAGGATCTGTGTGATGAAAAGCTTTTATTTTGTTTTTTTTTTTATTTAGTTTTAACATAGCTGTAGCTTACGATCGATGATGATGATGACGATGATGATGAGAAAAGATTGTTTGTTTGTTCCGCAAAAAAATGATTTTGTTTAAATAAAAAAGTGTTCTCTCATTCAGAATTCAATTCTAATTCGATTTAATCGTTTTTATTGTTGAAATATTATCGCAATCGTGCAATTAATCGATTCCTCGGTAGAAGAAGCCTTATTTACTAACCTGATAGGAAACGACCGGAATAGAATCCCTAGGGGTAGACGTACGGAACTTGTATTTCTCGCTCGATAACAGGATAATCCGATTTAGATGCAAGTATATATATATATATATAATTACTTAGAATATTGCAATACCGTTTTCTTCTAGTATACTATTTTTGTTTTGTTTTTCATGAATCAATGATTATTTTCTTGAAATTTTAATATATTTTGTTATTCACTTGCAATTTTAGAGAGAGAGAGAGAGAGTGATAGCAATTGAAAAAAAAAAGAAACAAATTAAAATAAAAACCACATATATTGGGATCTCTGACAAGGGCATGGCATAGCAATTCGACCTATCTAATCTAATTTTGTATTTAACCACCAGATAGCGTATTCATGTGTTAGAGATCCCAATGCAATTATAAAAAATCCTGTAAACAATTTTATTTGATGTTTTTTTTTCAATACGTACTTTCAAATTCGACCAAAACTTCTGACCCCCAAACTTGCCACGAACGAAATTGTATCTTCAAATTCCACATGTTGCATTATTTCATATTTATTATGAATGTTTCTCTATCGGGTGTCCTTTGATTTTCCTCATCTTCTTTTATTTCTTATTCATATTATTTGAAAGAAAGGATCGATTTTAAATGCATGCTTCGATATGCACGTTCGTCATCTCACTGGTTCTCAACTGATTATTAACGTGAAGTTCCGATGACGCATTACTGTGTACCAAATCTTGTTTTTTATGAATTTGTCCAAGATCTCGTACAGGTCCTATTGCTGCACAACAACTCTCTAATGTTTTTCTAAATGCAGCACGGAAATCACGATTGAAGTATGCATAAATCAATGGATTCAATGCGCTGTTGAAGTAGCCAACCCAAAAGACTACTGCAACTACAATGTCACCGCATTCACAGGCATCGCAGAGAGACGTTATGACGTACCTATTTAACATAAACAAAAGAACAAATATTATCAAATATTCTTATACATATACATATCTTCTAATATATATATAAATTACGTTTCATGTTGTTTGTCCGCAATGGACTACTAAATTACTGAACCGATTTTAATCAAATTTTCTACACTGTGTGCAGTTTCATTTAACTTGAAATATAGAATAGTTTATATCTTAATTTATAATTGCAATATTAGGTTATTCGTTGACTTTAAGACGTGTGTATTGGACTAATTGTGAGCCACAGTAACGCGTGGCGGGGCACCCCTAGTATATATATATATATATTGGGATCTGTGGCAGGGGTGTGGTGTATCAATTCGACCTATCTACTCTAATAACGTCATTTTTTAATTGTGTCATAACAACAGTATGTTATATGATTTTAAAAATTGCTTCTATTGATAGAATAAGAAACAAGTTTATTGGATGCCTTTACAGTAGGACATATACTGCATCAAACGGACCCCTCGATTTCTTTTCCATTCAATTCCTTGACACCTTTTTGCTAGAGGATTCTTATTTCCACCGGTATTATTGGAATTCAATGTGACTTCGTACTCTTGCGATTTCCTGACAAGAAAACTACGATGTCAAAAAGCTACGAATGAAAATGTATTGACATCTATTTTCTCTTTTTTTTTTCAGATTATTTATATCTTCACTTTACAATACTGACAAATCTTGTTACTAATATAGGTTTTATGTGAGTTCAAAGTAGTTAATAGTAAAATAATAGAAATATATATATATATATATATTATACAGTAATATTACTCACACATATTTAATCAAAGTTATTTCGATTAATAGAAAAACATTTTATAGAAAAGTCTAGTCATTCAATTAAAAAAAAGAAAGATAATCGTAACCTTCGTCTATTTTTGGTACATCTGAACAAAAGTTAAGGTCAATATTACATAAATAAAACGTTATGATTGATATTGATCGTAATTGGTCGAAGACAAGAAACAAGGAGTATGTTCAGATACGTTTCTAATTGAATTTTACTACATTGTTCAACTATCTTCCTAACAAGAAACAGCTTAAGCTCATTTGATATTTTTAACATAGAAAATATTCATCGATTTGTTAGTTTCTTTTTTCATTCGGTACAATAACACGACACTTAACTGATTAAGTGTGTTTGACGTTTATATACGTCATGCGTAAAAGTATTTTAATATGTTTAAAATGTTTAGAGGTCGTATGATTTGAAAAAATGAAACGTGTTTTATTATTTACTTTCTTTGTATTATAAAAATATGCGCCTGTACGAATGCAACCCGCCAGACACATTTTGAAAATGTTGCCTGCGAGCGCCGTCTGTCCGAACGGAATTTAGTTCTGCCCCGAAAGATAGGCAACCCGTCATACATACGTGTATAAACAGTTTGGATTAGAAAAAAAAATTCTGTCCCAGTAGATGGCGTTCGCAAGCAACATTTTCAAAGTGTGTCTGGAGGGTTGCATACGAACAGGCGCGTATTTTTATAATTAAGTAAGTAATTACAAATTAAAAGTACAAATAATATTATAAAATAAATTTACAAAAAAGTAAAAAAAACGTAACTATTAAAAATTATTTGAAGGTTTTACTTCGAACTTGTATAATATGGACACATGTTTCTTTTTTTAGTTAAACCAAAGACTTATCGAGTGAGTGACTTGTTACGTTCATTGAATCATTTTTTGTTCATAAACAACTAATTGTGTTTATAAATTATAATAATATGATATAATGATGTGTATTTCCGTTTTGTTAATAAACTGTAATAAAAATCTGGGTCGAGATTGCGACAGATAACGAGTATCGATAAAATTTTGAAAGAGAGAGAGAGAGAGACAAAAAGAAAAAGAAAAATCAAACAAAGAAAAGATTCAAGTTCATCTTTGATTTATTATATTTACTCGAGGTCACTAATGAAAAATAAAAAAGAAAAAATAAAAAAAAATAAAAATAGTACCTAAGCATCGTGAATTTTGTAAAGTTTTACTGACCAATCGTAGTTTGTTGAAAGAGCCCGTATCGAAGTAGTGACCTTCGTGATATATAGGTCATTCGAGGGAATCGAAGTATCATGAAGAGAGAAGGTAGTAGTAGGTAGTAGTAGCTAGGTCAAGTGTTATACGAACACCCAAAGTGAGGTGAGTAGTATCGGTTTACGTTGTATGATGAAATAACGAAAACGTCAAATTACTCAAATCTTTATTAAAGATTTCATCTAATTTTCATTATATTTCTATTTGTTATTTCGAATGATATCAATTGATAAATCAATTTTTTAATCAATATTATTATTGCATACAACAAATATTTCGTATTTTATTATCATCATCATCATCATCATCATCATAATCCGGATTATTCAAATGAATCTCTCTTTTGATTGTTTCAATAATTAACAATCTTTCCAAAATAATAATAATAATAATAATAATAATCATTGGTAATTTTGTTAATACCTTGAATGTTCTCTTCATTGTTATCGATTATATTAAATATTTAAAAAAAAATCGCAAGAATTTAATAACGTTGAAAATCGACATGTCGCAGGAATTACGTGAAAGGATTAAATTAATTGCACATGGTGGAAAAAATCTATCGGTTTATCGAGAAAAATTTTTTTTTTTTGTCTTCTAAATTAACCTATTGGAATATCAAAGTTAATCAATTCGAATAAAAGTTCATTCAATTTGCAAATAAAAAAAAAAAAAAGAAAAACTTTACGTAACTATTAAAAATATATTTTAGATGGATCGTGAAAAGTAATGTCGCTTTCTAACCTCAAATTCAAACGATTAAATATTGAACAAATTTTTTGATTTTTATAATTAATAATCACACACCTTATTATTTTTTTTTTTTTAATCTAATATGCAAATTCTATAATAATATATCAAATTGAATAAAAATATGCATGTGTAGAAACACCAACGCCATTACATTTCGGTCCCCCTTAATATCAGCTAGGGACCACCCTATAGGAGGGACGCGCCATGTACATTGCTAGGCTGAAAATGTAGGGGGGGGGGAGACAGCTTCCGTTGCATCGAGCAGCCATGTTTATCTTTAGTATGTATTAACAACGGCTGTGATTAGTTGAAAGTTTGAAATACTTATAGTTTTTATTGTGATATTTATATTTAATTGTTTTGTATGATATTGTTTTTATTAATTTTCTATAAGTGTAAGTTTAATTTACTCATTTAATAATTACAAGTGTATAAATGTACAAACCTAACCTATAACTAATCGTTTGAATTATTCGCATACAATCACGTGACTATCACGAGTTCCTGTTCCCCAGCAATGTACATGGCGCGTCCCTCACTATAGGGTCCCTAATATCACCATTTGATTTGATTTGATTCGATCAAGGTTAAGGTTTTTTTATAACCTTTTGACAGTTTTAATAATGACAATGATTCATATTTTTTCGTTCACTCGAGATTCTCTTATGTGAGACTAAGACTCATCTTGAAACATTTCGCGTAGGAAAGTACATCCGTTGTATGGACCATTGTGCTGACTATTCGTAGTGCTTACATGAAATGCTTAGAGGTAGCACTTTAAACACACATACACATATATATATATATATATATATATATCCGATGAACCATACATGTATATACTTGTGACAGATCAAGGTTGGGTTATATGGATAGACTTATATATCGTGTTCTGGGCAAACCACTTCAGATCGTTCCAGCACACTACTTTTTCCACTTGAAACTATCGATCGTCTCTGTACACGGCACTCTCACCTTTTTTTTTTTTTACAGTGTTACCGCACCCTTAGGAATTTTCGTTTCGATAACCATTCCAATTTTTATTTTTGTTTTTTTTTTTTTTTGGATATAGAAACCATAGAAGGATTGATATTTTGTAAAATAGAAAAATTAGGATCGTTATGGGTAGCAAACGATACGATGCAATTGCATTCATACATTTGTTTCAATTGCCAAAAAAACATGGCCGATATTCTGTAAAAGAATTTTTCATCTTATAATCAACTATCCTCATTAGATGTTAATGTAAACATTTCATTTCTAAAATATTACATTGTCTCAGAAAATTTGTTTCCGGTTTTCTTTCTTTTTTTTCGTGATAAATTGCACAATATTGTTTGCATAATAATTTTTCTTTTTTTTTTTAGGTTATCTTTTTCTTTACTGTATATAATATTATTCAACGTAAAAAAATATTAACGTGCTCTCGTAAAATTATTAAAAAAAAAAAAAAAAAAGAAAAGAAACTTTAGGTACGACTTAAGAAATATTGGACCACGTTTTGATAATTTGAGATGTTGAAGATGAAACTCTATCAAGAAAATTGGACATCATCAAAGTTTCGGTCTATTTAACAAGGATCGAAATAATGACGTTTTTCTCGTGTATTATTAAATATTGGCTCGTTTCCAAAAAAAGAATTATGAGTGAGATAAAAGAAAGAAAATAAGAAAGAAAGAAACGGGAACATTTCTAATTCTTGTTGAAAAGTTACATTCGATGAAAATGTTTCTTTGAAATTGTTGTAGAACATTATTAAACAATTAATGAACCCTATTTCGAACACTTGATTTATTATTTTTGCACGTAACACGATATTTTATTCAAAGTATTAAGGATACACATCGTATATAATATTTGTAGATATCCGATAGGATAAATGATGGCAATAATAATTTACAGTTATATATACTTTAATAAGAAGTGTCATCCTACTTTTACTAAGGAAATAAACTTGACAAGTTTATTAGAAATTTATGGAAAATTCTTTTCATTTAATATGATTTATTTTGTAACTCGATAACTCATTCGACGACTACTTTGATCATAAAGTTTGATAATTGAGTTTTATTTCTTGTTTCTTGTTTCTTTTTTTCTTTTCTTTTCTTTTCTAAGAAATTTCTGTAAAAAGTTTATGAGATTTATTAAAGAACAGGATTATTTGTTGGATTAAATAATAAAAAAAAACAGGAAATTATATCATAAGAAATAAAAATTCTGTAGATATTTGATAACACAATAAACCAACTATATTCATCATCTTAATGATGAAGATTATTTACGTTTGGTAAATTTAAAAAATTGTTAAGAATAAATAAAAAAACATTAATAAAATATTACTTTACCAGAGAAAAAAAGGAAGCCAGCAAGCTAAAAATGCTGACATGATGATCCCGAGTGTTCTGGCAGCCTTCCTCTCACGTTTCATTTTACTGCTGCTGGTGATAGGTGGTTCTTCCGGTTGAAGATCATGCGACGATTGATCTACCGTGGGTAATGATGTTATACCCGCGGAAATACCATTAAATCGCATGTGTTTATTTAATAGTGCAGCAGCGACTTTGCTTCTGAAATCAAAAAAGAAAAACAAAAATAATTAGCAAATTAACTAAAGAATTAAATTTTTAAGATGATTACAATTTTCAAAAAAACAAATTCTAACTTTTCGAAAAAAATCTCAGGATTTATCAGGAAAAAACTTCAGGACTTTTCGAAAATATCCTACGAACTTTTCGAAATGAACCTCAGGACATTTCGGAAAAAACCCCAGGACATTTCAGAAAAAACCTCAGGACTTTTCGAAAATATCCTACGAACTTTTCGGAAAAAACCTAAGGACTTTTCGAAAATATCCTACGAACATTTCGAAATGAACCTCAGGACATTTCGGAAAAAACCTTAGGACATTTCGGAAAAAACCTCAGGACTTTTCGAAAATATCCGACGAACTTTTCGGAAAAAACCTAAGAACTTTCAGGAAATATCCTACAAACTTTTCAGAAAAACCTTAGGACTTTTCGAAAAGCACCTACGAATTCTTCAGAAAGAACCTACGAACTTTTCAGAAAAATACTCAGGACTTTTCGGGTAAAACTTCAAGACTTTTCGGAAAAAACCTACGAAATATTCAGAAAGAACCTCAGGAATTTTCGGAAAAAACCTCACTACTTTTCGGAAATAACCTTACTATTTTTCGGAAATAACCTCACTAGTTTTCGGAAATAACCTCATTACTTTTCGGAAAAAACCTCACTAGTTTTCGGAAATAATCTCACTACTTTTAGAAAAGTTACTCCGAAAGTGAGGTTATTTCCGAAAAGTAGTGAGGTTTTTTTCGAATAGTAGTAAATTGAGATATTATTATCGTAATATGAAACAATACCTCTATTGCAAATGTTAATTATCAATATATATTATCTGACCTTGAGTAAAATAATATTCAATACAATTACCAAAGTTTCATTATTTCATATTCAGTTGATATCGCCCTATTGTTAAATTAATCACTTGGATATGTTAATAATGAAATTCACCGTTAGATATTTTCAATGTTATACATATATGTATTCGTTGTTTAACCTGTAAAAGGTAAAGATCGTTGAAGTATCGCAACTATACAAAATGTTGCTTTTGACAGAGTATGATAATTATTCATGAAATCATTTATCTTTATCCTTATCAGTAAGGGAAACCTTGACATTGGTCAACCTATTAATCATACACTCATACGGTCTCTACTACTTTTTCGTGTTTTCATCTGTTAACTATGAAAGATCTCTTCTTGAACGCTTTTACAAACCGTACCTATCCATATTCCACTCTTTTTCATATGTCTCGACGACTTTGTCTCTTTCTTCAAAATCCCAGCTTACAGTATCTATTATTCGTTCCCCTTTTCACTAGGTTTATAACAGTCTACGACCTAGTTCGTGGATAAGTAAGAACATAACCTATATCAAAGCATTATACCAAAAAAAGAAAAGAAAAGAAATCAAAATAAATACTTTTATTCAGTTGATATCATTTTTTTTCAATATATACATATTTTACATTATATTATATATTATTGATATAGAGTGGGGGAAAGAAATGGCCGTAATATTACGTAAGAAGAGAAAAAGTGACAAACATATCATAATTTATACAAATATCTGATTTGCAAGCATTTTTTCAAATGTTTCATTATTTACTTTCTTTGTATTATAAAAATACGCGCCTGTATGAATGCAACCCGCCAGACACACGTTGAAAATGTTGCCTGCGAGCGCCGTCTGTCCGGATGGAATTTGTTTTTGCTCCCGAAAGATAGGCAACCTGTCATACATACGTTTATAAACAGTTTGGATTGGAAAAAAAATTCCGTTCCAGTAGATGGCACTCGCAAGTAACATTTTCAAAGTGTGTCTGGACGGGTTGCATACGAACAGGCGCGCATGTTTTATAATTAAAATAAATAATTACAAATTAAAAGTACAAATAATATTATATAATAATATTATATTCTCGAAACTTGTTTATATTTAATAGTTTCACTTCTAACTTGTGTGATGTGCACACATTATGCTATTTTTTCTTATTTTTTTTTATTCGTAAGACTTAAATATACAAACTCTCACGTAATCATTCGTTAGACTTTGATATTTTCTACTCGACTATCTATCTTATTTTCTCGTCTTTATGTGTTCCTCCGACTATAAAAGAACAAAACGAATAATGAAATGACTATTGCGAAAGTAAGAATTTTATGTGTTTAGGAGGTTTTTCACTTAACCCTTACCTTACTTTTTATTTTATTATCTTTTTTTTTTCCTACCCTTTCTCTCTCATTTCTAGTTAAGTCGAACGATTAATTTATTTGCCTAGGGCAATCAATTCACTCCCCCACCCCCTAACCCCTCATACACCCCGAATCCTATGTTTGATAGTGGATTAATTTGACGAGTACGTTTCTAAGCTGAAAGATTTACGAACAAATATTACTGTACTGTATTATATTAATATAATATTGTATAGTACAATATAATATATATATATTATAATATATTATATATATATTATAGTGTGTATTATAGAGTATTATATAATAAAATATATATAATTTATAATATATAATATATAATACTATATTTTTTTTTTATATGCAATATATGTTTATTAATATTAAATATTATTTTATATATTATATTAATGTTATATTAATATTCATATAATAATTTTACATTATATAATATAATATAAAACATACTAATATATTATAATATATATTATAATAATATAATATTGTATAACATAACGTATATATATATATATATTATAATAACTGTAAATATTGAAGTTATAATCTAGGACGTTATTTCTCTCCTTTCCACGAAATGACCATAACTCTACATACAAGTGATTAACAATAGAAACCATCGATTCCACTCTTTATCATTGAAACTAACAAGATCGATATGAAGAGTCTACTTGACGTTGAAAGCTATAGAAACAAGAAAAGCATTTTTTTGCTTACGCCATTTATTTTCTTTGAACAAAAAGTCACTATTCTTTCATTTGAAATTTTACCTTCAAACGTAACAAATCTACTATCCTTGTTATATATAGTTACGTTTATATATAGTTGATACTTAAATCATACCAAACGATTGATTTCTATTTATTACGATCACTATTTTATTTTATTTTTTTATTACTTACGACTCTTCTTTGTCATAAGTCATAAAAATCACACGTAATATCATCGTATATTGTGAAAGTGGTTGAAATTGTAAAAGATAATTGAAAAGTTCAATTAGTGTCATTGTTATTTTATCAATGTTATATATGCATTCATTTATTGAATGTTTAAATGTGTAATCTTTGAAATATTTTGAAACATAAGATACATGTGGGACGAACGCCTCCATGCCAAACTTGATAAGCATTCGTGGAAGGGAACTGGTCGGTGGGCCCTGGATAGCTCAATTGGTTAAAGAGCAGTCGCCCGGAAAGCGAAAGATCCGTGGTTCGAGTCCCCGGTCCAGTCAGTCCAGCGGTCCAGTTTTTTTTCACGAATCTTACATACATGACTTTTTTTTTTTTCTTTTTATCTTGAGGTTTGTATACCCAGGCGCTCAGTCTCTGGACCATTGTGCCCGGGCCCCTTGCGGGGAAAAACCTATGACCATAGCGGTCCCGCGGGCAGCCCCGACTCCCTTGCAAAGCGCAGGAGTCTGGCCGCCCCTGAGCCCACTAAGTCGAAGTTGTTGTCGCTGGTCCCAAGGACATCATTTCTGACATCCGCGAGCCCAACGCATTGAGTTATGAGATGGAGGGGGGTATCCTCAGATACATGACTTACATTAAACTACTTTTATAATTATAAACATCTATATATATATATATATATATATGGATCCATTAGTTTCGATCGGTTCTAACAGGTAGCTGGTAGGTTTATATCGATTATACTGTCTATAAACTAACGATATACTTTTATACTAAAAGATTTGCCATTAGATTCTATAAATAGATAACTTACTAACTTCTTATAACTTATCCTTGACTGTAACTTATCAACATACGTAACAATAGTAATATAAGTTATTTCAAAAGTTAATGCAAATTAAATAATGCAACAACAAGAACAAACTAATTCTAACGAAATATTTCAATTATTTGTCAAGAATAATATATATAATTATTGAATAAATAAAATTCAGTCTCACCCTAATGGCTGAAAGAATTGGAATTCGCCCGTAATGGCGGAAAGTAATTTAAATCGTCGTTACTACGCATATCAAATTATTTCTTATATTTTAAATGAAAAAAAAAACAAAAAACCAATTGATCATATTAAAAATTTGTATACTAGATAAGAAAAAAGGGGATTGTTGATAACACGTGATTAATTAATTTAATTGTTGATTGATTAATAATACAAAATTTGTTTGAATTTTGAGGTTAAAAAGTGACATTACTGTCTGCTCCATCTAATATTCTTGTTTTTTTTTTTTTCTTATTCATTTTGTTCACTTAATAATAATTAATTTATTTATAACCTTACTTTGCGAATACATATTTCTATTTTGATACCATCAAACAAACGACGTATTTTATTGCGGTTGTTATTTTGAGCATAATGCTCATTATTTGGATTTTCCGTAGAAACATTTTGTTTCAATGGCTTCCGTTAAATACAGTAAAGATATATTCACATTATAAATATATAAATGTTCGATATTTCCAATGTTAACCTACTGGACCATTAAATTTCGTTCGAAACTTTGCACTCGGATGTAATTCCATTACTGTATAATCTCATTAAGTTTCATTTTTAAATATATTTTGTCGAATGTAACATTTTTGGCTTCCATAAAATTAACTTAACGAAATTATTTTAATGAATAAGTATAGATACGAACATTTAATCGAGAGAGAGAGAGAGAGAGAGAGAGAGAGAAATACGAAAAGAAAAACCGTAGTTTCTTTTTTTTTTTTTTCCTACGAAATATTCGATATTTCATAATATTTCCATAATCCCGCCGCGATGTATTTCAAAATAATTTCCTTTTATTATGCTTTATTC